GAACGTATATAACCCTGGCGCAGGGACTCTGTGACGTATATTTCCATAGCCTCCATTTCAGCCTGCGACAGGGGATACACATGACTCCTGGGAGGTACAGAGTCTACCCGAAGGTTTATCGCGCAATCCCCCTCCCGATGAGGTGGTCATTTAGTCGCTTGCATCTTGGAAAACGCGAGTGCCAGATCATGGTATTCGGGGGGAATGCGCACGGTGGGGGTACCGTCTGAACTTTCCACCGTGGTCGCACTAACGGAAACACCTAGACACCTACCCGGACACTCACGCGACCACCCCGTAAGGTGACAACGAACGCCAAAGCCTGCCCGAACCAGGAGAGGGGGCAGCCTCGGCGGAAAGCAAAGCAAAGGGTGGCTTTTTGAAGAATCTCAAATATGAAATAAATTTTGATTTGTTTAACACTTATTTGGTTACTACATTATTCCATATGTGTTATTTCAGAGTTTTGATACCTTCACTATTATTCTACAATGTAAAATATTGTAAAAAATTAAGAAAAACCTTTGAATGAGTAGGTGTGTCCAAACTTTTGACTGGTAGTGTACATATCAACACATTCACTGGAGACTAAGGAGTCACAAAGAGGCTATAAACATGTAGCGGTATTTCATATCAGGTTCCCAATACAATAATAGTCCCATGTAGCTCAGTTGGTAGAGCATGGCACTTGCAACGCCAGGTTTGTAGGTTCGTTTCCTACGGGGGGCCAGTATGAAAATCTATGCACTCACTAACTGTAAGTCACTCTTGATAAGAGCATCTGCTAAATGAGTAAAATGTAATAGGATTGAATAGATTTATAGTAAAATACAGTATTTATTATGTTACTACACAGTTTACAGCAAAAGTGGGTGACAAAGTATCTAACGCCAATTTCTTTAATCAAGAGTCAAAATGCATATAATATAATATATAATAATAATATAATATATGCCATTTAGCTGATGCTTTTATCCAAAGCGACTTACAGTCATGTGTGGTCCCGGGAATCGAACCCACTATCATGGTGTTGCAAGCGCCAGCCACATGCCTGATGCAGACAGCACCAAAGGCCTACAGAGTACCTCTTTAGTACTACCAGCCTCATTATCATGTTCTAAAACTAAGATGACAACAATGCTAGTATAGGCCATTTTTTTCTACTGCTGCAGATTGCCAACACTTTTTGATAGTAAACCCTCTACAACTGTAATATTCGCTAATATTCTGTATGGCCATGGATACATAGGCTATTGCAGATTTTTTCTAGGTGACAACAAGGAAAGGGAAGTGACCGACTCCAGTGACTCATCCCCAAACGAAAGCTAGGGTTTCACCGATGTGTTATTGGTATTTGAGAGTGGAATTATAGTCCACACATGCCTTTCTGACAGGTTGTCAGTCCCAGTGCCACGCCATATTCTGCTTCCTCATAAGCTATTGTCTGTTGTTGAGCAGAGATGCAGATGCTTGCATAGATAACGTGTCTGCTTGGAACTGTGCCCATATATTATTCACTGCCAATAACCAGTATATACATTATTTACTCAACTACATAGACCAGGAATAGATTTAGTCTATTTAAAAAATATCTATATACACTACCGTTCAAAAGTTTGGGGTCACTTAGAAATGTCATTGTTTTCGAAAGAAAATCAATTTTTATGTCCATTAAAATAACATCAAATTGATCAGAAATACAGTGTAGACATTGTTAATGTTGTAAATGGCTATTGTAGCTGGAAACGGCTGATTTTTAATGGAATATCTACATAGGCGTACAGAGGCCAATTATCTGCAACCATCAGTCCATCAGTCCTGTGTTCCAGTGGCACGTTGTCACGAATTCAGCCGAGGCTGCCCCTCCTCCTTGCTCGGGCAGGTTTCGGCGTTCATCGTCACCGGCTTACTAGCCACTACCGCTCCATTTATCATCACTCCATTTGTCTTGTCTTGTCAATCACACACACCTGGTACTCATTTCCTCATTAGTCTGTGTATGAGTGTTCCCTCTGCCCCCTTGTCCTTTGTGAGTGATTGTTCATTGTGAGAGTGAGTAGCTCGGTTGAGCTACTCTTTCCTTGTATGTAGCCAAGGTGGATTTTTCCCTTGTGCTAGTTTCGTTTTGACGCTTGCTGCGCTTTATTCATGTACACTGAATAAACTCTGGATTTCGGTGTTTTACCCCCTGCGCCTGACTCCGTCATTCACACCTCATCACACACGTTGTGTTTGCTAATCCAAGTTTATCATTTCAAAAGGCTAATTGATCATTAGAAAACCCTTTTGCAATTATATTAGCACAGCTGAAACTGTTGTGCTGATTAAAGAAGCAATAAAACTGGCCTTCTTGAGACTAGTTGAGTATCTGGAGCAGTCTGAGATAAATATAATTGCAAAAGGGTTTTCTAATGAGCAATTAGCCTTTTAAATTGATAAACTTGGATTAGCAAACACAATGTGCCATTGGAACACAGGACTGATGGTTGCTGATAATGGGCCTCTGTACACCTATGTAGATATCCCATTAAAAATCAGCCGTAACAATGTCTACACTGTATTTCTGATCAATTTGATGTTATTTTAATGGACAAAAAAATTGTGTTTCTTTCGAAAACAAGGACATTTCCAAGTGACCCCAAACTTTTGAATGGTAGTGTATATATATTATCACATTCATATAAATGAATACCATATTGCTTGCTGATACGTATTATGATGCAGTATTATTATTTAGTTATTTGATATTATGATAAGTTACCGTATGTCATCCAACTCATATGATATGACATGATGATAAGTTACGGTATGTCATCCAACTCATATGATATTATGATAAGTCATCCAGCTCATATGATAAGTTACCGTATGTCATATTATGATAACATTTTACATTTTAGTCATTTAGCAGACGCTCTTATCCAGTTAGTGAGTGCATACATTAATTTGTATTTTATTTTTCATACTGGCCCCCCATGAGAATCGAACCCACAATCCTGGCGTTGCAAACGCCATGCTTTACCAACTGAGCTACTTCCCTGCCGGCCAATTGTGCGCCACCCCATGGGTCTCCCGGTCACGGCCGGCTACGACAGAGCCTGGATTCGAACCAGGATCTCTAGTGGCACAGCTAGCACTGCGATGCATACCGTAACTTATCATAATATCATATCATATGAGTTGGATGACATACCATAACTTATGTGGCCTCCCAAGTGGCCACTTGGGAGGCCACATAAGTTATGGTATGTCATCCAACTCATATGATACGACATTATGATAAGTTACCGTTTGTCATCCAACTCATATGATATGATATTATGATAAGTTAAGGTATGTCATCCAACTCATATGATATACGACATTATGATAAGTTACCGTATGTCATCCAACTCATATGATATGACATTATGATAAGTTACCGTATGTCATCCAACTCATATGATATGATATTATTATAAGTTACCGTATGTCATCTAACTCATATGATATAATATTATGATAAGTTACGATATGTCATCCAACTCATATGATATGATATTATGATAAATGATGGTATGTCATCCAACTCATATGATATTGTATGACCGGGTAAGACGAATAATACTTCCTCTAATTCTTATGATATTGTAGCCTACAATCACTATTCCATTCGCAATGTAATGTAACATATACTAAATGAAGGGATTCAAATGTACATTTCAAATGCAACAAATGGCGCTGAGGCCAGGTTGCATAGAGATTAGCTCACTACAACTGCATCACATCTAAATGCACAATATGCACAAATGGCGATAGGCTTTAGGTCGCCAGTACTGTTGTGCGCTGGATCGGCGCGTTTACATTGTGCTACTAAATGAAATGCCTAAAAGAAAACTGTAAAGTGTATAATAGCATCAATATATCACTACTATTTAACCTCAATGAGGTGCGTGCGTGCATGCATACAGTACGCATGTGTTTATCCTATAAAAGAGTGAGTAAATCTTCCCAGAAACAGCCATTAATCCCGCTCGTGCCCTGTGTCCAACCCAACGAGGCACATGTGACAGACCTTCAGACGCGCTCGAAACCCCTGCACCCATCAGATTCAACCCCCATATCACCACCCTCACTTTGAAGGGACACACCTGAGACTGTCTCCCTCCCATCTGGTCAGGACGGGGGAAATTAGAATCGGAGACAGGTGTGGAGTGAGTGCGTGTGTAGCAGGGGGATTTTTCATTAGGAGTCAGAGAAACCGAGCCAGGACCAGAGGTCTGTGGCAGCCAGGGGAAACAGAACGGTTTGGCCCAGTTAGAAAGGTGCAAATGGGCTCCGAAAACAACCGTAGATGGTGTCCATTAAATACATTAGGCCTACTCATGGAGAAGTCTGGTACTAGTAGATTATTAACCTCTGATGAGCCAGTTGAGTCATTTAAAACAAATTCGCATTGGACAATAACAACTGTGTGTGTGTGTGTGTGTGTGGATGGATGAATTGACCGATTTAAAAACAATCAATCGAAAGCAACAAGAAATGTATTCCCGTTAGCCCACAGCCGACAGCCAGGTAAAAAGCGCCACGGTGACGAAAAAGTATTCGCCTAATTTGCTAAGTGTTTGAAATATTCGGCGCAACCCATATTGCACAGGCGGCTGCGGTGCCCACCGACTCCGCCTCTTCTCCTAAAGTATACATTGTACGCACCTAGCCGAGCAGATAGAGACCAAAGCAAGATACTTGAGAGACAGAGTAGATTATCAACTCAATATTAGGTGAATAAACTCAGACATGGTAGACCAGATGCACTATGCCACCAGTGCCCAGATTATTGGAATAATGTTTAGAGAGGCATCTCAAATCAAGGTAAACCACTATAGAAATGAATAAATGTTGTGTGTGTGTGTGTGTGTGTGTGTGTGTGTGTGTTATTCCATTTTTGTGTATACAAATTGATCCATTTAAACATTTTCCCTTATATTTGTGTCTGTTGAATTTTTACATAATATTTTAAAATAATGTAATTTCAAATATTCTACAGATGTTTCTGACCTCCATACTGTGGTCTGATGAGAGTGAAGTAATTGTCTACAGATCATTCCTGGAGTTTAAGGAGTTTCATGTAAGTTTTAAATTGAACCTGCACATCAATAACGGGGCAGCAGGTAGCCTAGCGGTTAAGAGTGTTGGGTCAGTAACCGTGAGGTTACTGGTTTGAATCTCTGAGCCGACAGGGTGAAAAATCTGTCAATGTGCCTTTGAGAAAGGCACTTGACCCTAATCCTGTAAATCGCTCTGGATAAGAGTGTCTGCTAAATGACCCAAAAAAGACAATTAAGTGATTGATACATCTTTATCAAAAGATGTTATATCCCTCCTCTTTTTCAACAGAGACAATTGAAGAAGAGGTTTTCCCTTGGGAATCCTTTCCGCAAGAGAGACAGAGTGATTCCCAAATTCAGATGTAAGTCAACAACCTCACAGTCTCATCTTTACCTCACAATCTACCCCCAAACTATTTAAACTCTCCTTCATCACTCTCCTATCTCACCTCCTCATCACATTCATGTTGTTCTTCTTCCTACCTCAATGAAAAAGTGAAACCCCATCTATAAAAAAAAAAACGGAATACATTTTCCTTTCTTTCACTGCGAATACTGAGTGCAGACCTTACTAATTGTTGTCTTCTCTCAGCCACAGAGATGAGGAGAAAGTTCCAGGAGAAGTATTCTAGTTGGTCGATGCGTCAGATTAATTTACTGGAGAACTACTGCAGCGACCTGCTCAGGTGTGACACGTCTGTGACCTTCAGTTCAGAGGTCACTCAATTCTTCATGCCCAAAGACCACGACCTGCAGGCAGACTTCACCAAGAACAGGTAAACACATACAAATATTCCTTGTTTCAGCCTCTTTAAAAAAAGTAATTTCAGCCTTCTTATTTCACTACACTTATTATTAAATCATGGATCCACTTAATGGATGAGAGCATCTACTTACTAAATGGCAGCATTGTTTTAAGAGCACTCGGGCCTTCTCATAAAAACTTCAAGAAAATGTCCAGCAGGTATGTTACTGTCAGCGTTTGTCTCCTCTTTCACAGCATCATGATCCTGCCATTGAAGGAGGGGAACATGAGCAGGCAGCGTCTGAGCATGGGCAATGGGACACACCCCTTTGTGAGCCAGTCTTACCGCTGTGTGGGGCCCTACGACACCAAAGACACTAAGAACAGGCCCTTTAAAGTGGCCTTGGATGAGAGGCTGGACGTGCTCATCAAAGACCAGGCAGGTTAGAGTCCTCTTTAATATAGTTGACTTTTATTTACCTGTATTTAAACGTAGTTTAGCCCACATTTAATTTCTCCCTCCACTGTTAACCTGGGATAGGCTCCACTTTCAAGCTTTGTGTGGAGAAGCATGGAAGTCAAGACTAGTCTAATTAAGAGAAATTAATATGATAATAGATAAATTCCTCCTCCTCTTACACTTCTTCTGTCTCGGTCTGTGTGTGTTCATTCAGGCTGGTGGCTGGTGGAGAACGAGGATAAACAGTTGGCCTGGTTCCCTGCTCCCTACCTGGAGATGTGTGAGACAGAGGAGGATGGAGATGAATTGGATGGAATTCCCTTGGGGGGTGAGATACGTTTTACTGTATATTTATGCATATCCTGTCCACAGTCCAAACTTAATCACAGTAAATGTTGTGAGTTTGATTAATATACTAGGCCTACTGTGGATTGCACCTACAATGGATTGCAGTTAGAGCATGGATAAACCATTCCAAAAATCCTGTTTTGAAGTTAGAATGTTCCACAGCCATCCAAACACCAGGGGGCAGTCCTCAGCTAGATAAATCACGCTCATTCCAACAAAGTAGAGAATATTAGACTGAGATTGTATTACAGATTACAAGATTGCATTACAAGGTTTTCTGTCATGGTTTTGAGATTTGTCAAGATCCACTATCTACAGTGCCTTCAGAAAATAGTCACACCCCTTGACTTAGTTCACATTTTGTTGAGTTACAGCCTGAATTCAAAATGTATTAAATATATATTTTGTCTCACCCAGTTACACACAATACCCCATACTGACAAAGTGAAAACATATTTTTAGAAATGTTTGCACATTTATTGAAAATGAAATACAGAAATATCTAATTTAATAAGTATTCACACCCCTGAGACAATACTTTGTAGAAGCATCTTTGGTGGTGATTACAGCTGTGAGTCTTTCTGGGTAAGTCTCTATGAGCTTTCCACTTTTATTCTGAAAAACTCCCCAGTCCTTAAAGATTAAAAGCATACCCATAGTATAATGCAGCTGCCTTGAAAATATGGAGAGTGGTACTCAGTAATGTGTTGTATTGGATTTTCCCCAAACATAACACTTTGTATTCAGAACAAAAAGTTAATTTCTTTGCTACATTTTTTGCAGCATTACTTTAGTGCCTTGTTGCCAACAGGATGCATGTTTTGGAATATTTTTATTGTGTACAGGCTTCCTTCTTTTCACTCAATTAGGTTAGTATTGTGTGGAGTAACTACAATGTTGTTGATCCATCCTCAGTTTTTTCCTATCACGACCAATAAACTCTGTAACTGTTTTAAAGTCACGGTTGGCCTCATGGTGAAATCCCTCCGGCACCTGAGTTAGGAATGACGCCTGTATCTTTGTAGTGACTGGGTATATTGATACACCATCCAAAGTGTAATTAATAACTTCAGCATGCTCAAAGGGATATTCAACGTCTGCTTTTTTTTATTTCTACCAATAGGTGCCCTTGTTTCCGAGGCATTGGAAAACCTCCCTGGTCTTTGTTGTTGAATCTGTGTTTGAAATTCACTGTTCGACTGAGGGATCTTACAGATAATTGTATGTGTGGAGTACAGAGATGAGGTAGTCATTCAGTGAGTCCATGCAACTTATTATGTGACTTGTTAAGCAAATTTTTACTCCTGAAATTATTTAGGATTGCCATAACAAAGGGGTTGAATAATTATTGATTCAATACATTTCAGCTTTTCATTTGTAATTAATTTGTAAACATTTCAAATTCCACTTTGACATTATGGGGTATTGTGTGTAGATCAGTGACACAACATCTCAGTTGAATCCATTTTAAATGCACGCTGTAACACAACAACATGTGGGAAAAGTCAAGGGGTGTGAATACTTCTGAAGGTTCTGTATACATTCCCAGAAGAACTACTGCTGATGGTATTGTAGAAAGGAATCTCTGTTGTTGTTTTAATCCACTTCCTGGTTTGTCCCTCAGGAACTCTCTTCTGCGCTGTGAAGAGTTACTCCACTAAGAATCATGACGAGGTGCCTGTTCCTATTGGCTCTGTGGTAGAGGTGCTGAGGAAATCAAACGACGGATGGTGGCTCATCAGGTATGTCAACATGTAACTATCTGTCTGAATGTCTGCCTCTCAGAATGCTATACAGACAAAGCAATCAAAACTGATTTTTTTTTGGTCAGGTCTGCGATACAAGACAATACAACCAATGTACAACCTCTCATTGTCTTGGCTAAAACCAGGCAGCAGGAATGTGGGAGGAATTGTTGAATGCGTTGTCAAATCAAATCAAATCAAATCAAATTTTATTGGTCACATGCGCCGAATACAACAGGTGCAGACATCACAGTGAAATGCTTATTTACAGCCCTTAACCAACAGTTACTCCAAACATGTGATTGTAGTTTGATTTGATTTGACTATGTGAACAGGGAGCACCTAATTAGCTGGCAACCAAAAGTTAATACCTGAAATAAAATGACATAAGTAAGGCGATCCTGCGGTTTTCATACATTTATTTGTTAACAAACAACAGCCAGGAGAAAACCTGTTCCCTTTGACAAATGATGATTGATGGTGACTAACGGCACCACTTTGACATTCTGTCAAGCAAAGACATGAAAGTCATCACCTGAAGATGTCCTGTAAAAAACAACAACTCTTTGAGCCCTAAGTGATGTAACTCTTTTCCCCTCCAGGTATAATGGCAGGACAGGCTATGTCCCCTCCATGTACCTGCAGCCTTACAACAACCCACGTGCTGGCTTCCTCACCCTGCAGAGGAAGCTGCACAGCTCCTCTCTCAATCTGGCAACCCACATGAACAGCTCTACTCTCAACCTGGCATCCAGTGGGAGCAGCCAATCTGGCAACCGCTACTCAGCCACCTTGTATGAGGAGACAGAGCTGCAGGAGCACACGACCCAGCCCAGGGGTGATCCGTATCTGGCCCCCCGTCTCCAAAAGACCCGCTCTCTGGAGCTCCTGTCTGAGACCCGTCCCGGCACGGCCGTCCCTCCATCCCAGAGAGAGAAAGAAGACCTGGAGTCAAACCTGGATCCGGCAATCCGCAAGAGCACCATCAGCGGGGCCAGGTCCTCCAACTCTGACTTCAGCTCGTCAGGCATTGAGTCTCTGGGCCGGAGTGTCGGGGGGCCTTCCACCAGTGAGGAGGAGCCCCAGAGCCCCCCACACAGCCCCAAGTCCTCACCCCAGCCAAGGGAGAGCAACAGTGGATGCAGCAGCCCAGATGAGAGCCTCTCCTCCAGCTCCAGGCCTGCGGCTGGGTCCTGTAAGATGCCCACCGCTGCCCCCAGGGTGCCCCCGCGACCCAGAGCCCAGGAGATCCTGACCCGGTGTACCTCCATTACCTGCAAGGCTGCCCTGGCCTCCAGGGGGGAGTTCTCCCTGCAGGACCGCACCCAGACCCACTAGAAAGGTTGGCAGCAGTGGTAGGGGAAGTGGGAGATAGGGTTATGGGGAGCCGTGGGGAGTGGGGTTTTTGGGGTTAGGGTTAAACTAGTCTCTCACGGCCGACTTTACATGTAGCGCAATACTTTGAGTATGGCTCGCGAGACTAGGGTTACATTTGCATAAAAATGCCTATGCTGTATGCTACACTAACCATGATTCCATCCAATCATTTTTATGCGCGTAAAGTACCTGTCGAATAAAAAACTAATGACAGGCCTTTTCTCCATAATCAGAGTTAAAATGGGAAGGAAACACATTGTACTTCTGTTTTTTATTCAGTAAATTAAAAGACAATGTGCTTTTTATGTGTATTACGTCATTACGCAAAGCTTTTAATTAACAAGAAGCCAGATCCATAGAATCAATCAAAAGGTCAAACATTTTTTTGTGTTATTATAGTAGAATGTTCACTTAAATCTTTTGAGAAATTGATGGAAACCTAGCTAATGTTGAACTTTAAAATGTGCTGACATCTTTCTGATGCTATTTATAATTTATAAACCATTGCTATTTAATTATACTTATTTACATTTGCATGAAATGCTCATAGGTAGAAATGGATTGGCTACTGGTCTTAAACCTTTTAAAGCCACACTCCTTAATTTGTGCATACCCTCAAAGAGTAGGCCCCAAACAAAATAGCATTTCACATGCAAATAATACTTATTTTACTAGCCACTACTACTCCTATTACTACAGCTGAAACAAGCACATTAATGTTCACAAAATGTACCTTTTCTAGTTTGAGATAAAATGGTATAATATTTTTTCAATGGACCTTTCCTGTCTGTATGTTTTTAACATTTTCTTTATTTTCTTTTTATATTTAACCTTTATTTAACCAGGTAAGCCAGTTGAGAACAAGTTCTCATTTACAACTGCGACCTGGCCAAGATAAAGCAAAGCAGTGCGATAAAAACAACAACAACACAGAGTTACATATGGGATAAACAAAACATAAAGTCAAAAATAGAACAGAAAATATATATACAGTGTGTGCAAATGTAGCAAGTTATGGAGGTAAGGCAATAAATAGGCTATAGTGCAAAATAATTACAATTAGTATTAACACTGGAATGATAGATGTGCAAGAGATGATGTGCAAATAGAGATACTGGGGTGCAAATGAGCAAAATAAATAACAATATGGGGATGAGGTAGTTGGGTGGGCTAATTTCAGATGGGCTGTGTACAGGTGCAGTGATCGGTAAGGTGCTCTGACAATTGATGCTTAAAGTTAGTGAGGGAGATAAGAGATTTTTTGCAATTCGTTCCAGTCATTGGCAGCAGAGAACTGGAAGGAATGGCGGCCAAAGGAGGTGTTGGCTTTGGGGATGACCAGTGAGATATACCTGCTGGAGCGCATACTACGGGTGGGTGTTGCTATGGTGACCAATGAGCTAAGATAAGGCGGGGATTTGCCTAGCAGTGATTTATAGATGGCCTGGAGCCAGTGGGTTTGGCGACGATTGTCTCTGAAAGCTATGGGATGACACAGGATAAAATATAGTAAGCTTGTATGATATAATTTGTATTAATTATGTTTTAATATTGTAGGATGATTTTCATTATGATGTTTAAATTGGGCATTTGTTTCAATGTTCTTTTTTAAATGTGTATAGTCTCATAAGTTTTAGTTCTACCCCTTTGGGGTTGACCAATGACTGGTTTGTTTGTTGTAGCCTACATATCATTCTCCTATTGGTGTCTGAAGTCACTGTTATTCCATACTGGAATTTTACTGTAACTATTTAGCATTACTGTCTGTATGCCTTATATGCATGTCTACCTAACATAGTGTGCAATAAACAATATCCTATACACTGAATTCAATGTATTCGTCTTCTCTCTTTCTAAGTCTTTTTCTACTGTGGTCATGTGTTTCTCTCCGTTTATGTTGTCCGCTCAGAATCTACTACCTCACAAGCAAACTGAACAGCTTCTTTAAAAAATCCCTCCAACACACACACACACCACCAGTTGCCTGCGAAGACATCACACCTGTGGTATTTAATGAAAGAACATAAGTGGAGGCAGATGACAAACACAAAAATGAAAAGAGGAGATGAAAAATACCTAAGAAAACACTAGAAGTGATTGAGGAGCTGAGATTATGATTCAAATGGTTCATTACACAGTTTTTCTTGTGCTCTTTTATCTTTCTAAATGAGTTAAATTCCATTCATTTCAAAGGCAATATGACTTAAACTGCAAAATGAATGAAGTGAAGAAAAAGCATTGTGTAAAAGCATACATAAGGATTGCCTTGACACTATTAGACGTTGTAATGTGAGACTTTAGATTTGCTTCTGATTGTGGTGAGAATAACATCATGTTATGTAACTTGGTTGCTTTTGTTCTCTAGCAGTCAGTTAGAAAGACCGATGAAAGAAAATTGCAAAATAAAGCTCTTGTCACTCTTTTAGCTCCTTGGCATGGACACTGTTAGATGATAAACTAGTTTCTCAAGTTGTTGCTGTTGGCAGGAATCTTTCTCTGCGTAGGTCGAGAAAAGGCCTTCCTTAACATGACTCATGTTACAGTAAAATGGATTCACTTCTTATCACATCTTTAAAATAACTTAACCAAATCATATTCAATATCAATCTTTATGGACAATATATGTTTTACTTTTCAAAACAAGAAAAAGAAGAGAGCATTAATTAGTTAAATAATCCAGTTATTCTGATAGTTTCCCTCTGAGAAAAGGAATAGTGGACTCACAGTAGCAATCCATTCCTTATCACAACCAGATTAAACCAGCCTACTGCATCTAGATTAAATATGTAAATAAAACAATAAAGGAAACATATAAAAGAGAAGAATGTGGAGTTTCCAATTCATTACATGAATTGAAGTTCTCTGATTTCTTCTATAACTCTCACTATTGCTTCTGGACTTGTGCACGTGACATTCAAACTTGAAACTTGAAACTAAAACAAACCAACAGTGTACTTTTAGGAGTGGCATTTACAGTCAGTAACAAAGCGTTAATAGTGTTTTATCCAAACACAAGCGGGAAGAACACTGATAAACACGTAGACGCTGGGAAGAGCATCTGAACAGTCACATGGCACAGGGCCATTCTTGCTTACTACACACACGTGTTATTGGGAAAATTAGTTCATATTTCATGGAAAGTCAAAGCAAAGACAAGGGAATGTTCCTGACGGGAATTGTTTAGGGATCAATAATTTACTGGAGGGAATGTTTTTAAGGGAAGGTTAATAATGTGAGAAAGGTAATAAAGACTTTTATTAGGAGATTATTCAATTGACCTTTAACTCACTGGAAATAACGACTTTGCTGATATAAATAAAAACATTCTCATGTCTCCAATTTATTGGATGCCTGTAAAATTTTGCCAGTAAGTCAGATCAGTGCAATGTACCGCCACAAGTTGGCACCCATTCAATTAAGATTAAAGGAGGGAAACTTCAGAAATGTGACTCATAAAACAAGTCAATCATGTCAATCATCTCAATCCTCTCACTCAACAGGCCAGGTATCAGTAGATGCTCATCAGAAAGGCATCAGTACTTCTCACACTACCAACATTGCTGAGTAACAACTTCCCCTCGTTCAACCAGATCAGTGCATTGTCTTCCCAAGCATACATAGCAAGTTGGCACGTTTTCAAGATTCTCATCTCTGTCTCTGTCATTTAAACTAGTTTCTAGAAAACGAAACACATAGAGAAGCATCTGCATTACACGCAGTAAATCGTATCTATGCATTGTTAAGATAAAGATAATTACTTAATGGAAATGGATGGACCTGTAAGATATTGCAAGATAGAGAGTTAATATTAACCCTGAAGGGGAGTTGTTTCCTGAGAGGCTTGAGTAGTAGTATTTAGTAGTATCCCCAATTAGCTGCTGCAGAGGCTAATCTACCTGGGGTCCAAACAGGAATCAAAACACATCAAATAAAATACATAATGTACATTGCACTAATTTTACAATTGAGCCATTTAGCAGACGAAGGAGTGATGCTTCTTTGAAGGAAAGGTATTCCTTTACAGCAGGACGAAGTTGGCCGCTACCTCGTGCACATAAACATTTAGAATATATTTGAATTAATAGATCAATACAACAACGGTTAAAATCAAGACATGAACTAAAAGGCTAAAACAAGGATTAAAAAGTTTAAAAATCATAAATCATAAAATCTATCCAACATGCTGCCCCAAACACATAGGGGTTTACCATACACAATTAGCCAATCCTGATTCTAAACACACATTCCTTTAACACACGTTGTGCTGCTGGTGAGATGGACGAAAAACATGTTCATTATGGCAGGATATGAAATATTACTGAAAAACATGTTAATTATAGCAGGATATGAAATATTACTGAAAAACATGTTAATTATAGCAGGATATGAAATATTACTGAAAAACATGTTAACTATGGCAGGATATTAAATATTACAGAAAAACATGTTAACTATGGCAGGATATGAAATATTACTGAAAAACATGTTAACTATGGCAGGATATGAAATATTATTGAAAACCATGTTAACTATGGCAGGATATTAAATATGATAGAAAAACAAAACCTTTGCTCTCATAAAAACCTTCAGCCAATGTCACAACAGACAAAAGTACTGACATTCATGTTATATAAAGTAAACTACAGAATAAAGTTGGCTGTTATTACCTTTAAAAGGCCATTCAAACTGAAATTGTACTTTTTATTGAATAGATACCTCCAGTGAGTTCTGAAAGAGGCCTATTCATAGTAACCCACTCACTGTGGCCGTCATTCAGAGCAATAGCTAGAGAATGTGTTTGGTTTGGAAGCTCTAGAGCCAGCCGCCATTCATTTCCATGGCAACTCCCCCTGTCAAAGTGGTAAAACCTGGAGGGTACGAAAAAAAGAGGGAGGGGAAAAAAAGATAGAGCGAGAAAAAGAGAGAAAAGGGACCCAGGTGGTTAGTCACTAGCTCTGGACGTTATCAGGAGTTTTCAGCCTAACAGGAAGTACTATAGTGTGGGCCCTAGAACTTCAGAGAAAAGGAATGACATGGAGCTTTACCACTGGAGAGCTGAATGATTATTGGTCAAATGACGTCTTATTTCCAGGTTGTTTTAGCAGTGTATTGTTGTGGTTCAGCACACAGTGATATTTGTTTGTGTTGTTGACATGTAGGCTAGTCCTAACTAAAAGGAGTGAGGGGCTGAGCTGTGAAAACAGTAGCAACTGTGACCTCATGACAATTGACAACAGAGCAGTGAAATATGGTGAGTATAAAATATATCATTTATAATGATGAGTGACTTTATGGATGAAATATGGATTATGATTTTCGAGAACAACTTTGTGTCGAGAGAGCTACAGGTATCCAAAAAACTTGAATGAGGTCGTAGAAAAGGAACACAGATTATTAGATATATTTTTTAAATAACGTATGTGGTTGAAGAATTCATGCACAGGAGTGCCTGGGCCTGGTAATTTCTCAACCACGTAAACCTTTTTGGGGGATTTGATTCTTCCTGTTTAATGGATTATGATTTATTACAACAGAGTGGCTTTGATTTTACTAACTTCCTGCTATTTACATTATTTTTTATTTTGAGTTACCTAAAGTACAACTATCATATTTCCTAACTAACTTCTCTTGTGTGTGTGTGTGTGTGTGTGTGTGTGTGTGTGTGTGTGTGTGCGTGTGGATGTGTGTATGTGTGTATGTGTGTATGTGTGTTTCAGAGTGGGGGTTACGACGTGGACCTGTTTGTGGACAGTCCAGACTATGACCTGCTCTGCACCATCTGTAGATCTGTCCTGAGGTGTCCTGTCAGAGTGGCCTGTAACCATGTCTTCTGCAAGACCTGCATCCTACAGTGGCTCAGGAGGTACAGTACACAGGATCATGTCCTCAGTTTAGGAGAAACTGTAGATAAAATGAATATTGTAACCATCACTGGTTTATCATTAGAACAGACAGTAGCTGTATTATTATGAAAGGTATGGAGCAACATCCCACTGGATACACACTGGTTGAATCAACATCGTTTACACTTAATTTCAATGAAATGGAACCAACGTGGAATAGACGTTGAATTGATGTCTGTTCCCAGTGGGATGTGGTTCTAATTTTGGGCACATTTTCACAGTGCTGAAAGATGATTACCATCTCATTTCTTCTGGCTTCTACTGTAGAAATGATCATTTTAAAGTGTAAAATGAATTTTGTTGATTCAATTCAGCTCTCTTCTCTAGACAGGAGACATGTCCCTGCTGTAGGAACACTATCAGTCCCAGCTTTATGTTTGTCATGTACAAATTGAGTAAAACTATCAGCCGCCTCAGGATTAAGGTGAGTCATCACAGCCTGGTGTTGCTAAATGTTTCTATTACAAAGTCATGGGGTTCATTTTTTCCAGAACTAATGTGTGAGGGCCACACTGTGGGAAGGAAACTGAATGTTTCAAGCATAGAGGAACTCATTTCCATCATGCCTCTCATATAGAATAAATCATTTCTTCATAAATCATTCAAACAACCGACGGCAATCTTTGACTTTCCCACACTCTTTCACTTCCTCTCCTCTCCCCTCTCCCCTCTTCTCTCTCCTCTCCGCTCTACCCCTCTCACTCTCCCCTGTAGTGTAACAACGAGGGATGCTCGGCCACTTTCCCTCTGTCTGAGGAGTTCCTCCATAGTTCCTCCTGCCAGTTCCAGAGGGTCCCATGCCCCCACCAGGGCTGTGGTTCCTTGGTGCCCCGCTCAACCCTGGAGGTCCACTCACAGCATTGCCAGCACTGGAGCCAGCTCTGCCCCATGGGCTGTGGTACTCTGCTCACACAGTCCACCCAGCCCCAGCACAACTGCTTCAGGTGGGTGGGTGTTAAAACACTAGGAGTGGGTGGAAAAGGGATATATCATTTGTATCTTGAATTTAGAAGCATTCCTCACTTTATTTCTTTTAGCAGACACTCTTAGTGGGTGCATACTTTTTTTTATTTTTTTCATACTGGTCCCCCGTGGGAAACAAACCCACAACCCTGGCTTTGCAAATGCCATGCTCTACCAACTGAGCTACACAGGACTGTTGATTAGTAGTAGTAGTAGTAGATTAGTAGATTAGTAGATTAGGTGAGTTTTACTTTCCTGGAATCCAAATTTAGTATCACTGAGAAGGAAAGGAAGTAGAACGATATTCAAGTCATAAGAAGGAATTCCCCTCGACTTTGCCCACAAATTGGGGCAAACAAACATTATTTCCCATTGACCCATATTGTAAGAGCCAACTTCGTCGTCGATTTTATGTTATACAGAAATAACAAAACATGCTGAAAAGCTGCTGTGTTGTTCAATGTACATGTAGCCAGGTCAATAATCCCGACCTACGGTTCGTAATGCTCCAACGTAGGGAAATAGAGCCTGCGAGAAGAGCCCTGTGGCTTCAGGATATACGGTGTGGGAGAGTGGGAAATGTGGGGACCTAATGTTCAAGTAGGGTACATTACATTTACATTTAAGTCATTTAGCAGACGCTCTTATCCAGAGCGACTTACAAATTGGTGCATTCAACTTATGATAGCCAGAGGGACAACCACTTATTTTTTTTATTTTTTTTATGGGGGGGGTGGGGGAGGGGGGGTAGAAGGATTACTTTATACTATTCCAGGTATTCCTTAAAGAGGTAGCTATGTGTATGGAAAACCTTTCATCACAGATAAGACATTTAACTTGTTTAGTATAGTCAGTTTGTAACTCCGCTCACTACTTGTAGCTGTATAGTCTGTTTGTAACTCCACTCACTACTTGTAGCTGTATAGTCCATTTATTTGTGTTGTTACTCTTGGCTAGCTTAATGTTCCAGTCGGTAACTAGCTAGCATTCACTCACAAGTGGCTGCTAGCACCCTCATGAAAAGGGGCATGACAGAAGCCCTACTATATTACGTTTTTCTAAGTAGTGCGAACACTCGGGAACAGGCAATGTTGAAAAGTAATCTTTAGACATGTTATACTTTTCTTAAATGTAGTTTTGTAATTGACTAAAACAAGCAGACAAGAAAGGTCACTTTTTTCTGTGAGCCAATGGGGTAACCAAGGTAACCATGGGTTGTCTTCCCCCCAAGGCGGTGCCACAACGTTCTATCTAATACCGACTGGGAGTATATACAAATTCTCTAAGTGAAGCTCGGTATAAATGCATGAATCCCCTATGATGATAATGATGCTTACCCCAGGCAGCTGAGGCAGCAGGTGGAGGCCCAGAGGCAGAGCCACAGAGCCATCGCTAGCGCCCTCCGGAGGAAGATTGGGAGAATGCAGGCCGCCATGACACACGTCAGGAGGCAGGTGGCGCTCATCTGTGAGAGCCTAGAGGTCATGGGAGAGGAAGAAGGAGAGGGAGAGGGAGATGAATACGTAGAGGGTGAGGGGGAAGGAGAAGGGGAGGGGGAGGTGTATGAGGGATATGGAGAGGGGGAGACTACAGGGGAGACTACAGGGGAGAGTAACACGAGCAGCAGTAGCAGCAGCTCCTGAGATGGGAATAGTTTTTTTTTTTTTTTACAAATGATTAATTTACTTTTTATATGACATGTTTTTTTTATATATAAAAGTCTGTTTATGCGGAAATGTGAAAATTAAAGAGGTTTGGATTTTAATGATTTTAATGAAACTGTTAATTTCATTTTGGTGTATTTTGTAAAGACTGCAGATGTATTCTCATGGATTGTTTTATTTTCAGAATGTTTTTATTAGGTTGATTATTGTATTTAGGCAAATCCAAATCTCAAATGATTAAAAACATGACAAAAACACTTCTCTATGCCAAGGTTTTATTCAATGATCGTTTTCATCTTCCATGTATTAAATATGGACTGTCTGCTCAAAAGGACATTGAACTGTAAACAATTAAAACAGCAAGCAAACTCACATCTCATTACTGTTCCTCACATGTAAACATTGACCAAAGGTATCACTTAAAGTCAGTTGAAGTCCTGTAATATACAGTATCCCACTACATTTGGTGACACATCTACTTGTAGTGCTGTGAGAAAGTCAAGGATGTCATAGCGTCATTGGGCCACAGGGAGGCACTAGTCCAACTCTGTAGCAGTATTGTCCTGGGAGATCCTCTCGATCGACTCCATGGAGGAGTGGTGTGATGACTGGGACGGACACTGCTGGGGCTGCTGGGCCGCTGGAGGACCGTCCATCCCAGAATGCATCAGAGGCAGGTAGATGTCGTCCATGTTGGGCAGCACAAACACTTTCTGGAATGGAGAGAAAATAGGTTCATTGTTTTATTTTGGGTAGATTGTCTTACTTTGGATTTGTGGGGAAGAGGAGGGCGGGAGGGAGGGAGGGAGGGATAAAGACAAGGGAGGGCGAGAGGTGAGAGATACTAGGGTATACTAGGGTACAGTCCCCTGTAATTCAGTTGGTAGAGCATGGCGCTTGCAACGCCAGGGTTGTGGGTTCGTTTCCCACGGGGGGCCAGTATGAAAATGTATGCACTCACTAACAGTAAGTCGCTCTGGATAAGAGCATCTGCTAAATGACTAAAATGTAAATGTATACAAGGTGAGGTATGGGAGAGAGAGGAGGAGGAGGAGATGATAGAGAAGTCTAACCTGGAACTCATCCTGCAGTTTCTTCTCAATCCACTCAGTCACGTGAAAGAAGGTGACCTCCCTCTCCCCCAGCTTGGGTCTGACACACAGGTCCAGCTTGGGAGGCACACAGAAACTGTACCTGGAATACACACATACATACAGGATCATCAATAAATACAGAAAGACAGTAACCGAAGGCAACTACCATGTTGACCTGACCTTTAGAAAAATTGTATCATCGGTTGCTGTCATTTGGCCAGCCTTGTACTATAATTGGCACAAAAAGAAAATACTAGGCTTTGGTGATGAAGACGCAAGTATGTAAATGAAGAAATAGAGTGAAGCTGAGTGACTAGGGACTGGACTAGGGACTAGAGGTTGTTTCAGGACAGCGCCATAGAGTATATCTGAGTGTGGGCCGTACCATATTCTATGAGTAGGGGGAGGAGGGATATTGAGTGTGGGGCCATACCATATTCTATCAGTAGGAGGAGGAGGGATATTGTGTGGGGGCCATACCATATTCTATCAGGTAGGAGGAGGGATATTGAGTGGGGCCATACCATATTCTAGAGGAGGGATATGGTGTGGGGCCATACCAATTCTTGAGTAGGGGGAAGGGGGAATTTGAGGGGATTGGATAGGGGTGAGTGGGGGCCATACCATATTTATAGTAGGGGAGGAGGGATATTGAGTGCCATACCATATTATCAGTAGGGGGAGGAGAGGATATGGGTGGGGCCATACCATATTCTATCAGTAGGAGGAGGAGGGATATTGAGTGTGGGGCCATACCATATTCTATGAGTAGAGGGGAGGAGGGATATTGAGTGTGGGGCCATACCATATTCTATCAGTAGGGGGAGGAAGGATATTGAGTGTGGGGCCATACCATATTCTATCAGTAGGGGAGGAAGGATATTGAGTGTGGGGCCATACCATATTCTATCAGTAGGGGAGGAGGGATATTTAGTGTGGGGCCATACCATATTCTATCAGTAGGGGAGGAGGGATATTTAGTGTGGGGCCATACCATATTCTATCAGTAGGAGGAGGAGGGATATTGAGTGTGGGGCCATACCCATAGAGAATGATAGAGGCCTCTAGTGGCCAAAAGGTTGTGTTAGCATAGGCAGAGCCATTGAGGGCTTTCACGATTTGAATTACATTTACATTTTACATTTACGTCATTTAGCAGACGCTCTTATCCAGAGCGACTTACAAATTGGTGCATTCACCTTATGATAGCCAGTGGGACAACCACTTTACACATGTTTTGTTATTTATATTTTGTTTTATTATTTTGTAATTTCTTTCAAATGTTTTAAAAACAATTTTTTTTTAGAGTATGTTTTGAATTTTCATTTGTTTTATATATATATAGTTTTTTTGTTGTGTTTATTTTTTTTTATTCTTCTTCTTCTTTTTTTTCATTTTTTTTGTGGGGGTGGGGTAGGGGGTGTGGGGGGGGGGATAGAAGGATTACATTTATACTATCCCAGGTATTCCTTAAAGAGGTAGGGTTTCAAGTGTCTCCGGAAGGTGGTCAGTGACTCCGCTGTCCTGGCGTCGTGAGGGAGCTTGTTCCACCATTGGGGTGCCAGAGCGAACAGTTTTGACTGGGCTGAACGGGACCTGTGCTTCCGCAGAGGTAGGGGGACCAGCAGGCCAGAGGTGGAAGAACGCAATGCCCTCGTTTGGGTGTAGGGACTGATCAGAGCCTGAAGGTAAGGAGGTGCCGTTGCCCTCACAGCTCCGTAGGCAAGCACCATGGTTTTGTAGCAGATGCGAGCTTCAACTGGAAGCCAGTGGAGTGTGCGGAGGAGCGGAGTGACGTGAGAGAACTTGGGAAGGTTAAACACCAGACGGGCTGCAGCGTTCTGGATGAGTTGAAGGGGTTTAATGGCACAGGCAGGGAGCCCAGCCAACAGCGAGTTGCAGTAATCCTGACGGGAGATGACAAGTGCCTGGATTAGGACCTGTGCCGCTTCCTGTGTAAGGTAGGGTCGTACTCTGCGAATGTTGTAGAGCATGAACCTACAGGATCGGGTCACCGCTTTGATGTTAGCGGAGAACGACAGGGTGTTGTCCAGGGTCACGCCATGGTTCTTTGCACTCTGGGAGGAGGACACAACAGAGTTGTCAACCGTGATGGCAAGATCATGGAGCGGGCAGTCCTTCCCCGGGAGGAAGAGCAGCTCCGTCTTGCCGAGGTTCAGCTTGAGGTGGTGATCCGACATCCACACTGATATGTCTGCCAGACATGCAGAGATGCGATTCGCCACTTGGTTATCAGAAGGGGGATAGGAGAATGTTGTCAACTGGGTGGGACTTCCATCTTCAATGGCTGATCCCTCCTGGTGACCCTGTTGGAGTCATGTCCCACCAGGTCATCAACAGGGATCAGCCAATCGTGAAGAAGAAAATTGACTACTTCAAAATGGAGATAGCCTCAATGGCGCTGCCCATGCTGTCACAGACGCTATAATGGCACAGATAGAAAGATCAGTCCTCTATCTATCTCTATGACCGTACCACATTTTATCAGTAGGGGGAGGAGGGATGTTGAGTGTGGGGCCATACCATATTCTATCAGTAGTGGAAGCAGGGATATTGAGTGTGGGACGTACCATATTCTATCAGTAGGGGGAGGTGGGATGTTGACAGCCAGTGTTCCAGAAAGCTCCTGAACCTCCACTGCTAGCAGCAGGGGCGTGTTGGACATCTCCTCAATCTTCTTTTTGATGAAATCATTCTCTGTCGCCTTCTGGAAGTACTTAGACTTAGCAATTTTGTCGACAAATCTCAAAATCCGCTTGCCTGTCCTCCCGCCACCAGCAGAAACCCTGCAGAGGGGAGGAGAGGAGAGGAGAGGAGAGAGGAGGAGAGGAGAGGAGGAGAGAGGAGGAGAGAGGAGGGGAGCAGAGGAGGAGAGAGGGATAATGTTGCATTAATGTGAGGCCATGTGGAGAGGCAGAGGGGTTAGCATGAGGCTACATGAGAGGACATATGCTTTCAGAGGTTAAACGTCACACTGGTCGCAAATGAAAACAGCAAAGCTATGACCTGTAATCTAATCTTAAACGAAGGGCTCTATTAAATCCGTAGCTCTGAAGATCCACTTTATAGCGCGATTGACAATTAAAGGCAATGTAAATGGTAAACGCTGCACGGTAAATGCTGCATATGTCGGATCAATCGAAATTACCTTAACATTTTAACGCGGCTCTTCCGTGATACTTCGGTGATACGGATTGAATCCAGCCTTAGGAGCTCAAATGTAAGCTATATTCGGGGAAAGTGATGTCAATGTATCTGTTGTGACTATAGAAGATGGTATTAGGGCTTGAAGTTTAGTGCTATACCGCACTTTAAATTTCAAGGTAATTTTTGATGGAGCCAACATATGCAGCGTTTACCATGAATGCAGTCTCCGCTAACACGGGAACATTGCCTTTAAATATAAATCGGGCTACAACACGGAACTTCAGCGCTACGGATTGAATCGAGCCCTTAGCGTGCAATACAGCACAAGGTCACAGTCAGGAAAAACTCCTGGCCGTATCATTCTACATGGCCGACTATATTTGGTGTGTAAGAGAAAGGGTCATCCATTACCCTTCAGCACCAGGTGGAGTCCCCTTTTCTCCCACAATGCCTTGGGGCTCTGAGAGCAGTACTTCCTCCTCGTCAGAAGAGCCGGCGCTGGAGGACTCCTCATCACTGTCAGCCAGAACACTGAGAACGGGTCTGGACCTGGACACAACAACACAGGTTAAAACTCTCACTGAGACTAAACTTAACCCTAGCCTTAACCCTGACACTAGCTTCCTGTCCACATCCCAGTTCAACCCTAACCCTAGTCTCAACCACAACCCTTACTCTAACCCTAAACCTAGCTTCATGTCCACATTTCACATCCTGGTTCAACCCTAACCCTAGCCTCAACCACAGAGAAAGGGTTAGCTGCAGCCTAATATGGCGGCCGGAGACTGGGGGTGTCGAAAGAACGTAGGCGTGTCGAAAGAATGTAGGGGTATCGAAAGAATGTAGGGGTGTCGAAAGAACGTAGGGGTGTCGAAAGAACATAGGGGTGTCAAAAGAACGTAGGGGTGTCGAAAGAACGTAGGCGTATCGAAAGAACGTAGGCTTATCGAAAGAACGTAGGGGTGTCGAAAGAACGTAGGGGTGTCGAAAGAACGTAGGGGTGTCGATAGAACGTAGGGGTGTCGAAAGAACGTAGGGGTGTCGAAAGAACGTAGGGGTGTCGAAAGAACGTAGGCGTGTCGAAAGAACGTAGGCGTATCGAAAGAACGTAGGCGTGTCGAAAGAACGTAGGGGTGTCGAAAGAACGTAGGGGTGTCGAAAGAACGTAGGCGTGTCGAAAGAACGTAGGGGTGTCGAAAGAACGTAGGGGTGTCGAAAGAACGTAGGGGTGTCGAAAGAACGTAGGCGTATCGAAAGAACGTAGGCGTATCGAAAGAACGTAGGGGTGTCGAAAGAACGTAGGGGTGTCGAAAGAACGTAGGCGTGTCGAAAGAACGTAGGCGTATCGAAAGAACGTAGGCGTGTCGAAAGAACGTAGGCGTATCGAAAGAACGTAGGGGTATCGAAAGAACGTAGGGGTGTCGAAAGAACGTAGGCGTGTCGAAAGAACGTAGGCGTATCGAAAGAACGTAGGCGTGTCGAAAGAATGTAGGCGTGTCGAAAGAACGTAGGCGTATCGAAAGAACGTAGGGGTATCGAAAGAACGTAGGCGTGTCGAAAGAATGTAGGGGTGTCGAAAGAACGTAGGCGTATCGAAAGAACGTAGGGGCGTCGAAAGAACGTAGGCGTATCGAAAGAACGTAGGCGTATCGAAAGAACGTAGGGGTGTCGAAAGAACGTAGGGGTGTCGAAAGAACGTAGGCGTATCGAAATAACGTAGGCGTATCGAAAGAATGTAGGGGTCTCGAAAGCACACATGTAATTAGTCTGACTTTCTGTCAGTTCTTTCACAGATTAGTGCAGAGATTAGTGAAAACATGACTGTGTAGGAATGCGCATCGAAATGAACTTGAGGAAGTTTGGGGAAATCAGAATGACTGTGTCGTGAAATCACTCAGGCTGTGGAAAAACACTGTATGTAAATGCACGTATCTTAACATTTTACATTTATCACATTCCATTGCAGTTGTGCAGGCTACTGTACGCAATTTAATTATTCAACTTGTTGATGTCCCATTTCTAAACACCGATAGCAAGCTTTCTCAAGGGCAGACCTATGGGTGGCATGCCCATGCAAGTTTGCTGTCATGCCGATGACGACCAATTTATGAAGCGAGCCAAAATAGCCTACAGTTTATGCTGATACCCATCTGATACTAGCACGTTATAATAACAGGAGAATGAGGTTACCCTGGTGGCAGATCTTCATGTCTCGTCACGATTGCTTTCATAAAAATTTGAGTTGTGTGTGTGAAAATCATTATGAGACTGAACAATGCTATTCATGACACATAGTATAGACAAGTTTACGCGCTGTATCCCGGGTGGCGCCATAACTCAAATGCATTTCATTTCCGCCGGAAGTTGTTTGCACAACGTCTGCCGGTGTAAACACAGCGATGTCGACGCTAGCTTGGGAACACGGTTCTACTACTTTGACAGCGAGCACAGCTAGAAAGGTGCCCATTCGCTCAACCACGGCGCCTGACAAGTTTTTGTCAGAACACTTACACCCATCCTTCCGTGGCAATGCCGCAACCCGTCAAGGAGCGGAGGGGGAGGAACTTGCAAAGGACTATTTGGAAACTCTGGTCAACAGCATTGAAACCAAAGGCTTAGTGGTGTGCGAAAAGGAACCGTGGCTTGCAGCATCTCCCGATGGAGTGATAAACAACGACATTCTGTTGGAGATCAAATCACCTGTGATGGGAAACAAGTCACTTGCAGAATTTTTGGCAACAAAGAACTGCGAAATCACAACTGTGGCAAACGGAGATAGGGTAGATTACCATATTGCCTGCAATGGTCCAAAAGGCTACTACATGCAGGTACAAATTGGGATGCACTGCACAGGGCTTCAGCACTCCAAGTTGGTGATCTGGAACAAAACTGAGCACCTAGAAATCGAAGTACCCTACGACCAAGGCTTTGTCCAGGGGCATATCATAAGGCTGCGCACATTCTACTTTGCCCACATGCTCCCGAAAATTGTTGATGATTTTGTTGAGGGAAGGTTACAGTTCTGCAGTAAATATCTCAGCATTTTAAAACCAAAATAAACTGCCTTATTTAGGTCATGCCCACAGGAGCCAACAGATGTCCATTGTTTACATGATCTCTTTATGCTGTGCAATATATCAGTGTGCCTACTGTTTGAGTGAAAATAAAGTTTGATGTAATTTCAATCCTTAGAGTGCTACAATTTATTTTAACACAGTTCATAATTCATAGTAAGCTCATACTGTACATAAATAACACTGGATTAATTAATTGTTTTGAGGAAACTAAACAAATGGCTTCAACAAGAAAGATTGCGTGTTTAATCTTAACAGGTATTAAAAAGTAAAATACAAAAGCAGCCCACACAATTACATCACTATGAAAATATTCATATATAATATTAAAAAATACAATGCACGCAGTATTTGTTGTGTTTATCTGTATTTAATTAACAACATGGCTGGGTGTTGGTAGACAGGGACACAGGGCAAGATTCTAAACCTCACTGATCAGTGGACTCTTCAGGTTAACTAGGCCAGCACAGATGGTTAAGATGTTGTCCAGTTTCGGTGCCATGCTGATGGGAACATTCTGGGATAAAATCTTAAACACCTTCAGTCTCTGGATTGCTCTTTCCACATGTATGCGGACATTGGCTACTCGCCTGGTGCGTGTCGTCTCCTCATTGGTCAACTGATTGCGCCTGTAGGTGAAAGCAGGGATGTTCAAACTGACCCTTCTCTCATCAAGCAAGTCTCGAATGGTGAACCCACGGTCCGCCATGACCTCATCACCAGCCCTCAGATAGTCTAGGAACCCACTGTCCATGGTGATAAACTTATCGCTGCTTCTGCCAGCATAGGCATCAGATATAAACATGATTAGCCTATTAGGGGCCACAGCGACGAGATATTTCAGTGTTGCGTGATTTATACTGGCTGAAAGTGTCACTCCTTGAGTCGTGGTTTGTGGCTCTCTGCATGGCACTTTCGGCACAGTCAATGATGCAGGTGGTTCGAGGGTAGTTCCTCTGAAACGACAAGGGCATGGTGGCACGAATGGTCTCTCTTGGAAGCCAGGGGATCAGGACTTTGAACTGTTCACCCATCACGTCAATCCAGTGACTAATCACAATGCTTGCCATGGATGTAGACACATTGAAGCGGTGAGCAATATCTCCTAATATTAGGTTTAGTTTTAGTTTCATCAACGTCATAAGTATTTGGTCAACAACAGGAAGGGTAATTGATGGCTTACTGAAAGGCAACAACACCGTCACCAGGGTGAAGAATTGAACCATAAGCACTCCTGTATACAGCCGGGACCTAGCATCATCAATGACCGTGGTGCTGGTCACAGTAGGACCCATTTCTGCCTCGCACTGTGTGGCCTTGTCTACTTTAACAGACTGTGTTGTTGAACAGTAAATGTGATCAATATGTGACGGATCCTCCCATTGGGTCTGGGCATCTCGAAATTTTGGTGTAGCAGGCTCGGCCTCACAGACAGGCTGACAGGTTTCTGGAGCATCTAGAAAGGGGAAGAGAAAACATGGATGGAGCTAAATTAATGCAGGCATAGAGTCCTCTCACTACAAACATCACAATGGAAAAATGTGTACTACAACATTGCACTCACACGCACACACACAATCATCATCACAACAGCCTGCCACCTTGCATTGTATTTATGATGTAGACTAAGGCACACGCAGGCAGGCACACACACACACACACACACACACAATTAATGATGTAGCTATCGTGGGCATTGTTTGTCCCATCTCCAAAACAATCAACTGCCTTAGCAAAATACCGGTAGCAATGTTAATGTATGACAACTTCTTCATAATTAACAGTATTGTCAGCTTCATAGCTAAAGTTGCTGAACTTACCCTCAGATTCAAGTCTGCGTTTCTTTATCTGGGGGGAGGCAGTGGTCCGCTGGGTGAGTTGACGCCTCTTTGGCTGGGGAGGGCGATTGTATCCCAACCACAACTCTGGGAAAGGATTATCCTTGGTAGGTTTTTGGTCAACAAAGTGATAGGAACAAACAAAAACGTTGAGGGGTGGTTTCTTTAGATTCAATGCCTTCAGCCAGGTCCTTGATTCCGAGTCGGTATCAGGCTTGCGAAAAAATGTAAACAATGGAGCGCATGGACATTGCCTCTTCGTAGCTGGTTTGTGGTCGTAGCACTCTCTATCTAACCACTCGTTCAGGTGCTTTCTCTAGTTTTTGCAACCAACTACCGCACACGTCGTTCCCGAACCACTTTTCTTCATGTTGTAATTGTAATTTTTATATCCTCTTTGTCACTGCGATATCAGTGCTTTGTCGGCACAACGGAGCTAGCTAGCAAAACAAACCCAGCCCGGCAGAACGGAAGTGGATTGCATCGACGGGAGGAGTTCAGGAAGTAGAGCGGAAACGGCTCAAAAACTTGTCTATACTGGTCATAATTTTTCATGTTTGCTTTCATAAATGTTTGAGTTGTGTGTGTGATTAAAACTGCTTTAGCATCCCCCATGCACTTCCTGAAAGTGACTGAACAAAATAGGCTCCTCTGAGTGGTGTCACCTGGCAACAACCCTGTCCAATCAAAAGAGACCATCCAATACCAGTGCACTTTCACCACGCCCATTTCTTTTGACACATCCACTTATTTCAACACGCCAACTACTCCAAGAGCAGTTCAACCCTTACCCTTAACCCCAACCCTAACCCTAACCCTAGCCTCAACCACAACCCTAACCCTAATAGAGATGTGTATGAGGATGTGAAACCTAAATCATGTGCTGCTGGACAAATAAATAATATTCAGCAGTGCCAACCGTGCTGTAAAGACAAGCTCATACATGCCTAACAAAAACAGGATCTACTGTAGGATTACATTTTAATTTGGAAACAGACCAACTAATCAACATAATGTGCATGCAGGCTCTGTTCAGAGGTTCACTATTAAAGGAGTTTGACAGATCAGGAGGGATAATGTAGCCTGGTGTCTTCATTATCATTTCACTATTTAGTTCACAGAGGGGGCAGACAGAGGGGGCAGATAGAGCGTGGCAGATGACCATTACCAGAATGTCAGCATAGATGCCGCAAGGCAGTGGTTATTTTGTAGCCTGAAATCCAGACCTGTTTTGTGCTAACATTCCACTCCTTGTACTCCGTGTCACATTCCAAACATGACAAGGAGTGTCATGATAGCACAAACAGACTGGTACCCAGCCAGGATAGTAATTTGCAGTTCAATTTACAATTAAATAATGAAAAATGTTAGTTGTATAACGTAAATGTTGTCCAGTAAATCATATATTTGATTTTAGATGATAGTGCAGTAGCATCTGTAATGTGACTGACCCCAGGCTGCCAGTATCAGTGAGGCTATCTGTGTCCAGGCCTCCCTCCTTGCCCAGTTTGGACAGGTTGATCTTGGTCTCCAGGGTCATCTGCAGGGCACTGGTATACACAACCCCCAGCTCCAGCCACAAGCCTGGGGAACACACACATGCAGGTATGCAGGCACACACACATGTACACACACACATACATATACACACACACACACACATACCAGAACAGAGATTGATAGACAGATCAGGAGATTGAGAGGAGGAGACGCTCCTCATCTGGTTATGGTGGAGTACTGAGCATCAGATGAGTCCATATTAATAATATGGTGTAATCTCAGGGAACCAGGGAGCTGTTACTTCCTGCTGGGGACATGCAGTACAGAAATCTCAGGGAGCTGTTACCTCCTGCTGGGGACATGTAGTACAGTAATCTCAGGGAGCTGTCACCTCCTGCTGGGGACATGCAATACAGTAATCTCAGGGAGCTGTTACCTCCTGCTGGGGACATGCAGTACAGAAATCTCAGGGAGCTGTCACCTCCTGCTGGGGACATGCAATACAGTAATCTCAGGGAGCTGTCACCTCCTGCTGGGGACATGCAATACAGTAATCTCAGGGAGCTGTTACCTCCTGCTGGGGACATGCAGTACAGAAATCTCAGGGAGCTGTCACCTCCTGCTGGGGACATGCAATACAGTAATCTCAGGGAGCTGTTACCTCCTGCTGGGGACATGCAGTACAGTAATCTCAGGGAGCTGTTACCTCCTGCTGGGGACATGTAGTACAGTAATCTCAGGGAGCTGTTACCTCCTGCTGGGGACATGTAGTACAGTAATCTCAGGGAGCTGTTAGCTCCTGCTGGGGCCATGCAATACAGTAATCTCAGGGAGCTGTTACCTCCTGCTGGGGACATGCAGTACAGTAATCTCAGGGAGCTGTTACCTCCTGCTGGGGACATGTAGTACAGTAATCTCAGGGAGCTGTTACCTCCTGCTGGGGACATGTAGTACAGTAATCTCAGGGAGCTGTTAGCTCCTGCTGGGGCCATGCAATACAGTAATCTCAGGGAGCTGTTACCTCCTGCTGGGGACATGTAGTACAGTAATCTCAGGGAGCTGTTAGCTCCTGCTGGGGCCATGCAATACAGTAATCTCAGGGAGCTGTTAGCTCCTGCTGGGGACATGCAGTACAGTAATCTCAGGGAGCTGTTAGCTCCTGCTGGGGACATGCAATACAGTAATCTCAGGGAGCTGTTACCTCCTGTTGGGGACATGCAGTACAGCATATTGGTTTGGTGGTGGTGGGTGTGTGTCTATGTCTGTGTGTGTGTGTGTGTGTGTGTGTGTGTGTGTGTGTGTGTGTGTGTGTGTGTGTGTGTGTGTGTGTGTGTGTGTGTGTGTGTGTGTGTGTGTGTGTGTGTGTGTGTGTGTCTGCGAAGCCATACACATGGGTGCATTTAGCAGTGTTTAGGCAGGATTTACCGTTCCCTGGCTAGTATCTCCAGAGAGGGTTAGTCTGTGTCCCTTTCTCCTGTCTCTCTGCCCGTACCACAATATGCACCAGGCTCAGCTTGTTAGTCAGTGACCCACGTCACATCCATGCCTCTCTAATCACACGTCATCATTTACAGATTTATACAGACCCCCACCCGCACAGTCAACACGTGTCACCATCATTCCCATAGGGCGGCACACAATTGGCCCAGCGTCGTCCGGGTTTGGCCAGGGTAGGCCGTCATTGTAAATAAGAATTTGTTCTTAACTGACTTGACTAGTTAAATAAAGGTTAAATCAAAAATTAATAAAAAATAAAACATTCCTTTGGGGAATTATAATCTGTCGTAATTTACAGTAATTCGCAGACCTTCATAATCAGGGCAAATCCATTTCATCTGCTCCTAAATACCCCTCCAGAATCCAGATTAGACTGAGGATGACACGATGTCATTGTCTTTCACTAATTGGTACTCTGAGTAGAGTTTAATTTACTGTATTGTGGGTTGAGTTACTGGCCCCAGAGTTTCTCCTTGGTCAGGTCACGTGGTCTGGAAAAGCTCATGGCCCTTTATCGCAGAAACTTCAGGGAGTGTAGAAAAAGGAAGCGTGCGCTCTCTAGTTGACACTCACCTCTGCTGTTGACCACAGGCCTGGATGCGCTGGTGATTTGGGGCAGACAGGAGCCCATGTCAAGTTCAGTCAGAGTCAGCTCATTCATGAAGTAAGGCAGCTGCACAGAGACACACACAAACAAAGAAACACGCTCTTCTGTTTTGCTTGTTTCCAGTGGGTGTTGTGGTTTTCTAGGCTATATATTACTAGCAAATGACCAAATAGAAATATTATACAAGCTCCCCTTGCTCCTGAACAGAGGATTTTCCACTGTGAGAGCTCACATACTCACTCTGATTCTGCCTAGCTTTTTCTGGATCTTTCTGGAGACAACGTCCGCCCAGTATTTCTCACGCAGGAAGTCCAAGAAGATTCGACCAATCAGGGCATTGACCCAGTCAGTCTGGCCCTCCCCCGGGAACTCTGGGAAATCACAGGTGCACTGTAGGGAAATAGATACACCACTACAGATTAACACACTATTTAATTATATAATTTATCTGTTTCTAGATGTTTAATTCAGGTGGCCACAGGAACTCACCCTCACTTTGTTGGTGGGGCTTGTCTCTGTGCTGTTGAGGGATAGTCTGGGCTGCTCTGAGGCCAGGAAACGAGTCATGTAGGTGGGGTAGTCCAGCAGCGGAGAGCCCACCCTGGATGGTTGGATGGAGGGGGTAGAAGGGGGAGAGGGGAGGTCCTCTTCAGTGCTCCCCATCCTGCTGGAGCCTCTGCTGCCCTGGGACCGTCTTGAAGGGCTCACCTCTTCCACCATCGGCACATCTAAATACAGAGATAACAGTTGTTGGTTCACAGACTTGATGTTGTTGTGGTCATTTTTAAAAAAGTGTTACATGAGAGTGCATCTGTAAGGAAACGTGTAATATTGTCAGCGATGAATTATGCTTCAGGGGCCTTAGTGGACTGTCTAGGAATAAAGATGGAGGGCAACACTGTTCAGTTTACACTACCAGGACAGACCAGAGCGAGGGCAGAAACATTTGTGGTTAAGTGCTTTGAGAGCACCACGACAGTACTACATTCTCCTGAACGTTCACGCATCTGTAATCTAGAAATGAACCTGAACACAAGGAACTACCCTGGGGAATAGCTGCCTGAACCATGGAGGGAACGGAGCAGCTGCACCCCCACTTTCAACATAGGGGCGTAAATGTATGTTTTTGCACCCCCACTTTTTTATAAGAAAATTATCATGATCCATTGGGTAATTTGTTATTTTCAATGATAGTAATGTTTTGAGCTAGTCTGTATTAAAATAGATATGTCCATTTTATTTCTGACATAATAATTAACAGATAGCATTTTGCACCCCCATGCCTCAAGATGAATGGTTTTGACCACTCTAAAGTTTTGTTTTGGCTCCGTGCAGTTAGAAAGCCCTAGTTGCACCACTGATGCATATATTTTGTTTTGCTGTTGTTACATTTGTATCATCTTTTCATGTCCAATGGTGTCGTTACATATCATTTGAGCTGTGTGCACTACGAGCAAATTCATTGTATCATTTCACTTTGCCTGTCAGAACCATGATGAGCACGGGCATGTGTGATTTCCCTTTGCCTGTCAGAACCATGATGAGCACGGGCATGTGTGATTTCCCTTTGCCTGTCAGAACCATGATGAGCACGGGCATGTGTGATTTCCCTTTGCCTGTCAGAACCATGATGAGCACGGGCATGTGTGATTTCCCTTTGCCTGTCAGAACCATGATGAGCACGGGCATGTGTGATTTCCCTTTGCCTGTCAGAACCATGATGAGCACGGGCATGTGTGATTTCCCTTTGCCTGTCAGAACCATGATGAGCACGGGCATGTGTGATTTCCCTTTGCCTGTCAGAACCATGATGAGCACAGGCATGTGTGATTTCCCTTTGCCTGTCAGAACCATGATGAGCACGGGCATGTGTGATTAGGCCTCACTGTAGCGCAGACTCTTGAGTAGCCTTCCATCCAGTAGCGGTGCGTGGGGAAAAACACTGGGGAAGCCATAATATTTATAATATATATAATAATAATATATATAAAATAATATAATAATAATATATGTAAAATTATATATATATATATATATATAAAGCCATAATATGACCATATTATTACAACCTATGTGTTGTGATAATTGCGTTGTTTGCTCTATAACCTGTTAGTTCATATGCCTTTGCCACCATGATATATAGACCTAAAGGCCGAGACAATAAGAAGACACAGTGGCAGAATAAAAAACCAGAGAGCAACATCTGTCTGGTGGAGTCCACAAAGCATATTCCATGTAACAAACAGTTACATGACCTACAGCATGGCCAATCAAGTTAATGTTACCGACATTATCGGACCACTAAACAACTATTGATTTAGAACCACAGAGCGTTACCACAAGTTGCAAAGAAAACAGGAGCTGCCTCCTCTATTCCAGCACCATTCAACTTTTCAACATCATCAAATCACCTATGCTTAGTCTAATACAGTGACAACTAAAATATTCAAAAAATGATTTATTCTAATCAACGTAAGCTAAATATCATGTGTCTGTCCAAGGTACTGATTTCTGTGTGTGTGTGTGTGTGTGTGTGTGTGTGTGTGTGTTAGTAGAGTAAGCATGTTGACTCACCCTACTTGTAGAGAAACACCAATGCCATCCTCCTCTCTTTCATGTTGCTGAAACGGTCTAGGCTACATGGCTAAAATGCTAGCTCCTTAGACTAACTTCCTTTCATGGGCAACAATTAGCCAGCTAGTTAACATTAGCCTACTACATCTAGCTACATATTGCACTTCCATCCTCTCAGGCCAGAGGCACAATGTATGAATTAATGGTTGGATCAGCATTGCCGTTATAATGCTCACTGGCTTCCCTTGCATTCAATGCTACGAGCGGCAACAATGTCATACTCTTTTTGACCAGACAGCATCAGATAGATGGAATACACATACAGAGACAGAGGGGCGCTGTTTCACTCCCTCGGATGCATTCTCTGGTGAGATACATTCAGCCTCTTGCGAATTGAAGGAAACACAGAGACAAAATATACATTTTTTTTTTTTTTTTTCTTGGTATTTTTGGGGGGGAAGGCTGGCTTCCCTTGGCATCCATAAATACACGCCACTGCTTTCATCAGCCTACCAAAGGTTGCACCTTAGCAGAAAACGGCATGTCCGGTAGCTCGTGGGCTGTCAATGAGTAGCTCGTTAGTAGATAGTGAGAAAATAATCAGTAGGCCTAATATTACATGATTAAATCTGTTAAATAATTTCCTCCCCAAGCTGTTTACAGGCATGTAACACCATTCTGCATTTTTCTGTTAAAATCTTTTAATTCAGTTACTAAACTAACAGTCCTGGCTGAGCCCCATATGCGAGTGCACCATGGCCGCTTCGTGGTTACAATGTAGCCAAGCTGTGTCTGTATGTGCCTATGCCCCAAATGAAATTTCTGTCTGTATAAAACAGCTCTGCTTGCGGGCCTGGTTCCATGAGGGGTCAAAAGGGGGCTTAGCCACCTCAAGTTTTATGTCCCTATATAAAAATAGCAAAACATTTCAAATATAAGACAGGTTGGCGTGATTTCTGTATTTCTGCTGCACTGTATCAGAACCATGGAAAGCGGGGGGAAACACATGCTGATCTGTGGTAGGCTACCTGAATCACGTGGTAGGCTACCTGAATAACGTGGTAGGCTACCTGAATAACGTGGTAGCTACATGAATAACGTGGTAGCTACCTGAATATCATGGTAGGCTACCTGAATAACATGGTATCTACCTGAATCACGTGGTAGGCTACCTGAATAACATGGTAGCTACCTGAAAAACATGGTATCTACCTGAATAACATGGTAGCTACCTGAATAACGTGGTAGGCTACCTGAATAACATGGTAGATACCTGAATAACGTGGTAGGCTACCTGAATAACATGGTAGCTACCTGAATAACGTGGTAGGCTACCTGAATAACGTGGTAGGCTACCTGAATAACATGGTAGGCTACCTGAGGCAAAGGCGTGAGGCAAAGGTATTGGTGTTATTAGCCTATTTAGCTCTAACCAGCTAATTAATCTGCCACTGCCACCATGGATATCAGAAAGCCGACTGTTCCTGACGATCTTGGAACAGAGGTGCCAGCCCAGGTTAGCCTAGAATCCTACCCTAACCGCAGGTTTTCTGTCTAAAGACGTTCATTTAATAGCAACTGGTTCATAGGAAGAGAGTGGCTGGAATACTCGGTTACTGCAGATGCAGCATTTTGGTTGCCGTGTTGAAAGTTAGGGTTAGGGTTAGGTTTAAAATCACATTTTAAGAAGATAAATTGTAGAAATAGGCAGGGTTTAGGACCTTGTGGCTGTGGTAACTAGTGATGACCGTGTCTCATCTGCCCAGCCATGCAATTTATAAACTTGATATCCACTGTAAAAAGCATCTAGACATTATTATCTCCAACATTTTCAACATTGTTGCAATATCGAAATTCAATCTCCACTGTGTCCCATAATAATGAACATGTTGGGAGTCGGGACTAGACAGACAGGCAGCTTTTCTCAGCCAGTCGAAATCATGAATCAGCATAATTTTTATGGATACATACAAAGAAATGTAAATAGAAAAACTGGTAAAAAAAAAAAAAAAGGCTTCAGTCTGGAGTGATTGTTTTAGCTGTGTAGTTGGCTAGCAAGCAAGGGGGGAAGATCCTCCATAGCAACCATTTCTATTAGCAATAGTTCTGGAACTATCAACCAGCGCTTGGGTAGTTTTGCTTTACAAGGCTGTCAATGTGAATAGAACTAACGACCAGAGAACGCTTAAAATTGCACTTGACAACCAGTGTTAGTGAATGCAGCATCATGGTTTGGAATCTTAGAATCTTAGAATATTGCTTTTTAATGCTGGTAACCCACTGTATAAAATCAATAATACACTGGAGTCCATGTGTTATGACATCAAAAATGTTCTAGCGGCCATTTTGAGACCGTAGGGAGCATCAGGTACTGCTGGAATGTCTACCAATGGCATGTCCATCTTTTTGTGAGAAATTACACTGGTCACTCAAAACATTTATAAAGTATTTATAAAGTACAAATAGCTCACACTAGATGAGGCCACACAAAAAGACTATAACTAATGATTAGTAAATCATTTATATGGACCTATGTTAAACATCTTATGATTGGAGTAATGATTAATAATAAATGATGAATAAATGATTTACTAATCCATTATAAATGCTTTATTACGCGGAGTTCCACTAGAGTAACATTTGCTTGATTTCTCCTTCCCTTTCCATGTGTATTGCTAGTGCATTATATTGTCATGGCCAATATGTGCACTGTGTTGAGATTTATCATTATGCAACAATCACAAATAAAAGACTAGCGCGAAGTCAGTTAAAAGATGAAAAAAGACAACCAAACCAAACACAAAGACCAAACAACAAAAACAAAGAAAAACAATGCTTCTCCTACCTGATCTGGACACACATCTGCCAGGCCTTTCCTGATCCTTCTCCTTCTCCATTACCATGGACGCGGACAGGAAGTGATGAAACCACTCCTCCTTCTCTCTTCCTGTCCGTCCGAAGAGGTATAGGGTTGTAGGGAGGTTGTCTGCTGGTTTGGGGGTGGCGGTGGGACATGTTTGGCGGTCTCCCCCCTGCTCCTCTCCTGGGGTCTCCACTTTACCCTTCTCCTCCTCCATGACCCCCTCTCCCACTACCAGCTCGATGCAGATAGGGTACTTCAGGTTCCACAGCCTCTTACGGGCTAGTGCAGAGGGCAGCAGGAACACCTGGTATGACAACAAAACGTATTATAAACCTGTTATAACACAACATTGAGACAAGTGTGATCAAATGCACGTCATGTAGTTCAAGGCCGAAACAAGTAGGTTTAAAAGAAATAGAGCCGGCACACTCCACATGCTCCACCACGCACCTTTATTCACAAACAAACAACGTTTCCATCCTGCAAGGATCTCCGTCAGGTCATTGCAGGATCTAAATGTTGTTTGTTTATTAATAAATGTACGTGGTGGGGCTTATGAGTGTGCAAGCTCTATTTATTTTATAACACAGCATTAACACATGTGCTTATTATTATTCATGCATTCATACCATCTCAATGTTTTAATTATTTCCTCAAATGAAACGGTAAGCTTTGAACAGTGAAGGTAAGTTGACAGACCAAGCAGACAGACCTTGCCGTGTTGTAGCTGGAAGCAGCGTGAGCTGACAACCACAGCCTCGGGGGGCTTTTCGTCGTAGGTGGCCCTACGGCTGATGTTGTTCCTGGGGTAGTCCAGGCGGAGGCAGTGCCCCTCCAGGGTGGCGAACACAGAGTGGGTAAGGGACAGGTGGTAGGTCTCTGGGTTGTACTCAAACATCTCGTTCATCCAGCCCTGGGACTATGGGAACATACCCAGTTACATAGTGAGACTGTGAGAGAATACTTGAATGACACATGGAGCATGCTTCAATGACTAAGACTAGCTGTTGTGCAATGAGCTATTTCATATGTTGATAATATCTTGTCCTCAAATAGTAGCTTGTCCTTCAAAACACCTGTCAGTTAGTCAGAGAGTGAAATGACTGTCAGTTAGTCAGAGTGAAACACCTGTCAGTTAGTCAGAGAGTGAAACACCTGTCAGTTAGTCAGAGTGAAACACCTGTCAGTTAGTCAGAGAGTGAAACACCTGTCAGTTAGTCAGAGTGAAACACCTGTCAGTTAGTCAGAGAGTGAAACACCTGTCAGTTAGTCAGAGTGAAACACCTGTCAGTTAGTCAGAGAGTGAAACACCTGTCAGTTAGTCAGAGAGTGAAATGACTGTCAGTTAGTCAGAGAGTGAAATGACTGTCAGTTAGTCATAGAGTGAAACACCTGTCAGTTAGTCAGAGTGAAACACCTGTCAGTTAGTCAGAGAGTGAAACACCTGTCAGTTAGTCAGAGTGAAACACCTGTCAGTTAGTCAGAGTGAAACACCTGTCAGTTAGTCAGAGTAAAACACCTGTCAGTTAGTCAGAGAGTGAAACACCTGTCAGTTAGTCAGAGAGTGAAATGACTGTCAGTTAGTCAGAGAGTGAAATGACTGTCAGTTAGTCAGAGAGTGAAACACCTGTCAGTTAGTCAGAGTGAAACACCTGTCAGTTAGTCAGAGTGAAACACCTGTCAGTTAGTCAGAGTGAAACACCTGTCAGTTAGTCAGAGTGAAACACCTGTCAGTTAGTCAGAGTGAAACACCTGTCAGTTAGTCAGAGTGAAACACCTGTCAGTTAGTCAGAGTGAAACACCTGTCAGTTAGTCAGAGTGAAACACCTGTCACTTAGTGAGAGTGAAACACCTGTCAGTTAGTCAGAGTGAAACACCTGTCAGTTAGTCAAAGTGAAACACCTGTCAGTTAGTCAGAGTGAAACACCTGTCAGTTAGTCAGAGTGAAACACCTGTCACTTAGTCAGAGAGTGAAACACCTGTCACTTAGTCAGAGAGTGAAAATACACCATGACACAAGGAGAAAGCTACAAAGCAAAATATCTATCAATGTTGGACTTGACTTAAACCCTTTTGCTCTTCGGGGAGCATGGGTCATTCAATGGTATCAATGTTAGATGGAGAGTGAAAGTCTCATAACTCTCTCACACTGATGACCACGGGTAACTCTACCCCGAGGCTCAGTCTGACATCCACCTTAAAAATAAACCCGCCAATTAACCAACAAGGGAATTATCCCTCCTCACTAAGACACACTCTTTCCCCCTGTGGCGTTACACTTTACCACTGATAACACTGTTCTGCCTGCCACTGAACCTAACAAATTGCTCAGCTAATTGCCTCTGGAGCTGACAATGTTGGGTCGGAGCTATACCCTGCACCTGGCAAGGCTGTGCTCTGCTATGTTGTGAGACAACACTAATGAGGCTCTGTATCTATTTTAGGAACTTTTTATTGGGAGACGTTAATTGCATTCCAGGCACTTTTAGCTGTCGCACAGGCACCACATTAGAAAGGATTCAGGCTCAGAGAGTTAGAGAGAGAGGGGGGGAGTGGATGTGCTGACTTGTTCTAAGAACAATGTTCGAAAAAGTTCATGCCACAGTATGGAGGAGGAGAAGTGCAATTTCAAAATATGGTTTTCTATTCAGCAAATTCTTGTATGGGTGTTGACATCTGTCAAGACCAAGGCCATATTCTGACTCCATGTGTTATAAGTCTCCATTCAGACCTAGCTGGGCTTATATGCTGAGAGAAATGAACTGTACAAAAAGGAATTCACCTTCAGGTTTTTATGTTGTTATGTATTTCATTTGCTGACATTCATTTTGTTGAACATCGACTTACCTTGAGGACATCTGGTTTGGTGCTGTGGGCATCAGCCTTCTGAACAGCCTCAGTCAGGGACTGAACGCCTCTGTGTGGATGTGGCTGAGCGGTGTGTCTGGTTGTGCCCAGCCTGATGAGCAGCAGCCCCAGCAGGAAGCCAAACGCCATGCCCTGAGCCAGGCCTGACATGTAGGGGCCCAGGGGGAGGATGAAGTAGACATAGGACAACACAGCCACACAGAACAACCCCATGTGTGGTGGAGGTGGTGGAGAGGTGGGCTGACTGACCACACAATGGGGTCCTGAGGAGATCAGAGAACCTGGCAATCTCCGCAGACGACTATGATGATGACTCTCTAGGGCCACAACCTGCATGACGTCATCGTACGTGCAGATCTCCAGTTCCTCTGTCTTGTAGTTGAGTTTGTTACCGTGGTGATCGAGGACAGAACATGTTCTAGTGGGCAGACCCTTCCTGGGATGTCTGGCACACGGCAGGTCAAACACAGGCGGAGAGCCACCGTCCGCTCTCTTGGCGCTCCGCAGAGGAGACTCTGTGTTACCCACCTCCATGCTGTCCATCTTCCCCACACAGACCCCTCTGGAGCTGGGGGAGCCGACTGAGGGAGTCCCTGTAGCTCTCTGGTGCTTGGGGCTGCCTACTGCTGCTGCATTCTCCTTCTCATCCCCCATGATCTTACTGAACATACTGATAGGCTTACTGAACATAGGCTCCTGCATGCCTCAGAGAACTTCCGCTTCGTGTCCTCCAGCTCCATCTTGAAGAAGGCCGCCTTGGTCCCCTCGGACGGGGATAGAGCGACTGGCGAGGGTGGGGCGGTACAGGAGTCTCCGTTACTCCTTCCCTTAGGCTGAGTCAGGTTCTTCCACTGCAGGTGGAGGTTGAGGCGGGAGTCAGACTTGGACTGGGACACCTTTGGCTCTGAGCGGGAGATCTCAGTAGAGATGGACTTGACCAGGCTGAGGAAGGGCTGGGGTCTAAGGGATGAGCCCTGAGGGAGCTCCAGCTCCGTGGACAGGGATTTCACCAGGCTGGCCAGGGGCCGGTGCGTGGGGGTGGCTGGGCTGGGGGAGAGGAAGTTGGGGGCTAAGATGGAGGAGTCCCCCAGGGACTCAGGAGAAGAGGGGGAGAGGGGGGAGTACAGGCAATGTTGGTTCTCCTCCTCTGTGGAGTTCTGTCTCTCCTTGGAGAGGGAGATGTAGGGGGTCTGGTCGTCATAGTCGTGTTCCAGGGGGAAGATGAGCTCGTTGTCATCCAGACTGTCCCACTCACCCTCTGTGCCTGTTAGCTGGATCACGATCCCCCTCCTGAGCCCGCCATGGTGGGCCCTGACTGGGGGAGCAGGAGACAGACAGTGGGCTGGGCTCTGGGGGTCATGACCTCCCACTCCACCTCCTCCATCTTTTCCTTCTCTTCCTCTTGCCCCATTTTCTCCTATCTCTGCCATTTCTTATCTTTACATTGCAGACCGAGGCACCTAGGAGTCAGCAAAAGAAAGAACAACCCTTTCTTTCCCTTTTGGGAAAGAGCACAGTTAGAAAGATATGGCATTTAGAAGCAAACCGGATGGACATCATGAAAATGATCGGAGAGGTTGAGAGTAGAAGAAGTTCAGGAGCAAAAAAAAAAAAATATATATATATATATATATATATATATATATATATATATATATATATATATATATATATATAATAGAATTATTGTAAAATTAACTCTGTCCATAAGGTGTAGATAGTAAGTATAGACCGGAAGTAGAGGCCTGGGCATTGTTGTTCACTAATTTACTCCAAGTAGGGAAAGGATGGTGGGGTTGAAAAGTAATAAAGGGGAATATACAGTGGGGAGAACAAGTATTTGATACACTGCCTATTTTGCAGGTTTTCCTACTTACAAAGCATGTAGAGGTCTGTAATGTTTATCATAGGTACACTTCAACTGTGAGAGACGGAATCTAAAACAAAAATCCAGAAAATCACATTGTATGAGTTTTAAGTAATTAATTTGCATTTTATTGCATGACATAAGTATTTGATACATCAGAAAAGCAGAACTTAATATTTGGTACAGAAACCTTTGTTTGCAATTACAGAGATCATACATTTCCTGTAGGTCTTGACCAGGTTTGCACACACTGCAGCAGGGATTTTGGCCCACTCCTCCATACAGACCTTCTCCAGATCCTTCAGGTTTCGGGGCTGTCGCTGGGCAATATGGACTTTCAGCTCCCTCCAAAGATTTTCTATTGGGTTCAGGTCTGGAGACTGGCTAGGCCACTCCAGGACCTTGAGATGCTTCTTACGGACCCACTCCTTAGTTGCCCTGGCTGTGTGTTTCGGGTCATTGTCATGCTGGAAGACCCAGCCACGACCCATCTTCAATGCTCTTACTAAGGGAAGGAGGTTGTTGGCCAAGATCTCGCGATTCATGGCCCCATCCATCCTCCCCTCAATACGGTGTAGTCGTCCTGTCCCCTTTGCAGAAAAGCATCCCCAAAGAATGATGTTTCCACCTCCATGCTTCACGGTTGGGATGGTGTTCTTGGGGTTGTACTCATCCTTCTTCTTCCTCCAAACACGGCGAGTGGAGTTTAGACCAAAAAGCTCTATTTTTGTCTCATCAGACCACATGACCTTCTCCCATTCCTCCTCTGGATCATCCAGATGGTCATTGGCAAACTTCAGACGGGCCTGGACATGCGCTGGCTTGAGCAGGGGGACCTTGCAGGCGCTGCAGAATTTTAATCCATGATGGTGTAGTGTGTTACTAATGGTTTCCTTTGAGACTGTGGTCCCAGCTCTCTTCAGGTCATTGACCAGGTCCTGCCGTGTAGTTCTGGGCTGATCCCTCACCTTCCTCATGATCATTGATGCCCCACGAGGTGAGATCTTGCATGGAGCCCCAGACCGAGGGTGATTGACCGTCATCTTGAACTTCTTCCATTTTCTAATAATTGCGCCAACAGTTGTTGCCTTCTCACCAAGCTGCTTGCCTATTGTCCTGTAGCCCATCCCATTCTTGTGCAGGTCTACAATTTTATCCCTGATGTCCTTACACAGCTCTCTGGTCTTGGCCATTGTGGAGAGGTTGTAGTCTGTTTGATTGAGTGTGTGGACAGGTGTCTTTTATACAGGTAACGAGTTCAAACAGATGCAGTTAATACAGGTAATGAGTGGAGAACAGGAGGGCTTCTTAAAGAAAAACTAACAGGTCTGTGAGAGCCGGAATTCTTACTGGTTGGTAGGTGATCAAATACTTATGTCATGCAATAAAATGCAAATTAATTACTTAAAAATCATACAATGTGATTTTCTGTATTTTTGTTTTAGATTCCGTCTCTCACAGTTGAAGTGTACCAATGATAAATATTACAGACCTCCAGTGTATCAAATACTTGTTCTCCCCACTGTATATATAAAAAATAAAAAAAAACATGGGGGATTGGAAGTGATGCAGACAATTACATTGATAGAAGATACAATCTATCTGCAATATTAAGCTGATACACCCCCCCCCCCAAAATATATATATATATATATATATATATATATTTATAAAAAAATATATTAAAAAATAAAACATTTAAAAAATAAAAATAAAATAAAAGAACAACACTGTCAGCTACTGTTCATTATACAGTAAGCCTATATGGAAAGGAAAGTGGATACCTAGTCAGTTGCACAACTAAAATGTGTGTTCCGCATTTAATCCAACTCTTCTGAATCAGAGAGGTGCGGGGGGCTGCCTTAATCGACATCATCGGCACCTTGGGAGCAGTTGTTGTTTGGGGTTAACTGCCTTGTTCAAGGGCAGAATGGGACATTTTTCCACCTTGAAGATTCAAACCAGCAACCTTTCAGTTACTGGCCCAATGCTCTTGACAGCCAGGCTTACTGCCGCCCCGTATGCACTTCCGCTCTGACCAAGCGTATGATTGGAGGTCTGTTATACACACCTCTCTGCATTGTTGCCACGCAACCAAGTGAATCTTAGATTCTCCAAAGCTCACTCTAAGCTCAATCAAGAATATGTATCTCTCATCCTCATCCATCACAGACATCAGTTCAACATCTAGTTTTGATTTACATTTGGTTGAGTTGTCAACTAACGTGAATTCAATGTGAAATCAACAACAAATGTCACCATGTCGTTGGATTTAGGTTAAAAGTTGTGTGAAAAGAAGACGAAGTGCGCTTACGTTGACGACGTTTTGCCAATCCAATCAGTTTCCAGGTTGATTCAAAGTACATTATTTTGGGTTGAAATTATGTGGAAACAACGTTGATTCAACCAGTGGGATCAGTTTGTCTTACTCTTAGCACTGTCGTCAGAGCCCAGAGCAGCCCGTCAACATGATGTGATTAGTTCTTGCTTTATCAGCTTAAAGAGCAGCTTACGTAATACTGAGATGAATAGCAACGGTAGTCAGAGATGCTTTCAATCACCTCCTTCAGGCAGCCATGACAGCCTGTATGTTTACATCGATTCTGTTCCCACGGTACTAGAGAGCTGAGAGTGGAACAGAGCTAACAGAACTCCTTCAGCTCAGAATGTAGTGACTGTGAGTGTGGAAATGACAGGATCAGTGAACAGGAAGATGATGATGATGAGGACCCAATGAGATCCCAGTTCCTCCAACACAGTCTACCTGGGGATTTGTCCGAAATGGCACCCTTTTCTCTACATAGTGCACTACTGTTCGTAGTTTTAGTGCACTATATAGGAAATAGGATGCCATTTCAGACTCAGACTGGGTCAAGTGCTCCGCACTTTAAAGTGAGTTAATTGATTGATTATTTAACTGCATTATGGAGCTATGGCACAATTTAGAGAAATTCTACAGCAGCTGGCGGCAAATTCTCTGTGATTCCTTCAGCCAAAATGGAGAGCGATCAGCTACTGTAGACACAAAGAATCACAGGATGTTTCTCAATATGAATAATACCGTGCTCCACACTCTCATGCTCCGAGTGCATTCTCCGACCACGTTCTCTTGTGTACATTCTTGTCAGGACGAGAGTCTGGAGAATGCATAAAACATTCAATTTGAGAAGCACTCCTACTCCCCCTACTGTGTTACCTCACGCTTCACCTCCCCATTCACTGAACTTTCTTTCAGCCTGGACAATGGCAACAATAGAGACAAAACAAGATATACACAAAGCAACCGTTTTGCTTTATAACTATCAGCTAGCTATAAGTGAATCGTAATAATGTACCTAACCAGATATTTTAACAGTCAAAAATGACCAAAAACTAATATTATGCAAGATAGATGTAAATTCTTCAGTAGAAGCTAGCCAGTTAGCCCTATTGATTCATTATGGGCTTGCTATCTACGGTACGTAGGCAGGTAAACATGCCAAAATTAACACAGAATGTATTTATTAACGTATCAAAATAAAATATTGTAGTGAGGCAACATATGAGATGTGAATAGGCAACATTTCATTCCGAAGTCAGAATGTATTTTCTCTCGCTTCAGCTCAAATAATGGCCATCATTGATTTCAATACATTTTGCGTAATATTTTACATGGTTGCGTCATATTTCTTTGCATTGTTTCCGTTGAAGCTTGGATCGATGCATGCTTCAAAATATGTATAAATGGGGTACGCATTCGAGGAGTGCCCTCCGTGCTCCGTTTCTCATACTTTGATTTGTACTCATACCCCGACCCTCCAGTGCTCCAATTTGCGTGCTTGGAGCACTGTAGCATGCATTTTGAGAAACAGCATCAGACCTGCCTCCCAGCCTGGGGACAGGGGGATCGAAGGCAAGTGCTGCAGGGTAAATGGGTGCACAGTGCATTCACATAAATAGTAGCAATATACACACATAGGTGCGTGAGTGCACACACACAAACAGTATACGCAGGTGCACACAAACACACACACACACACAAACACTTCTCTATCTCTCTCTGTCTCTCTCCAGAGACCTGCTCCACACATACAAATACAAATCTGCACAAAACCTATTCTGAGTGAGAATAAAGCCTTTTCCACTAGCTGTAGTAATCTGGTCTCCATGGCCTAAGCCCATGGCAGCGCTGTGCTGTGACAGACATGGTCTGCGTCCCAAATGGCACCCTATTCCCTTTATAGTGCACAAATTTTGACTAGGGCCCATAGTACTCTGATCAAAAGTAGTGCCCTATATACAGGGAATAGGGTGCCATTTTGGGAAGCATCCATGGTTATAAAATGCCTCAGGCAGCATTATTCTAGACAGGCTCAACCACGGCTTGGCTAATATAATTTTTTACATTTTAGTAATTTAGCAGACGCTCTTATCCAGAGCGACTTACAGTTAGTGAGTGCAAATATTTTCATACTGGCCCCCCATGGGAATCGAACACACAACCCTGGCATTGCAAACGCCATGCTCTACCAACTGAGCTACACGGGACTATAATGCGTGACACACGATGATGGACTGATGGAC